TGTATGTGTAGAAAAAAAATAAAAATCCTGCTGATCATGACTGAGGCTCATTGTCGAAGGGAAGCAAGCATAAACGTGTGATAGGGCGTTTATAAGAACCTTTCGCTGTTTTTACTGTAACAGTGCGGACGACTCCGTCGGGACCTGGATGTATCTCTGTTATTCTCCCAAGGGGCCAAGATAACGGTGGCGCGTTGTCCTCCTTTAAAATCACCATTTGTCCTTTATATACTGATGAGTCAATAGATTGCCATTTATTGCGCTGTTGAAAATGATGAAGGTATTCCCTTGACCAGCGTCGCCAAAAATGTTGCCTTAACTGCTCCACATGTTGCCAGCGCGATAAACGATTGATTGCGATGTTCTCCAAAGATGGCTCGGGATAAGACGTTAAAGGTCCTCCTATTAAAAAATGTCCGGCTGTTAAAGGTGTGATGTCGGCAGGATCAGAAGACATAGGCGTGAGTGGTTTGGAATTAAGGATTGCTTCAACTTGAACAAGCAATGTTTGTAGTTCTTCGTATCTCAAATGCGTATCCTTGGTTATTCGGAATATGTGCACCTTAGCCATTTTGACTGCGGCTTCCCAGAGTCCTCCATGATGAGGCGCTCTAGGGGTGATAAAGTGCCATTGTATGTTTTTATTGCTCATGTATCCCGCAATATCATGTTGGAATTTTTGATTCTCAAATAGAGCAGCTAGCTCGTTTAATTCCCGTTGTGCACCTACAAAATTTAACCCATTGTCAGAGTATATGTGAGATGGATATCCCCGTCTGGATATGAATCGTTTGAAGACGTTTAAAAATGCCTCTGAGGTCATGTCCGTAGCCAGCTCAATATGAACGGCCTTCGTTGCAAAGCAGACAAAGATTGCCATGTAGCACTTTATTAGCTTGCTATTTCTTCTCGATCCTTCCTTGTGGTAGAAGGGGCCGGCATAGTCTACTCCGCAACTTTCAAACGCTCTTGACGGTGCAATGATTCGTGCCTTGGGGAGATTGCCCATGATTGTTGATGCCGGTTTTGGTGCACTGCGAAAGCAAACGGTACAAGTTCGAGTGATCTGTCGATCAATGTCCCGCGCAGAAATGAGCCAGTAGTTCTGTCGAACGGCAGCGAGTGTAGCTTGAGGGCCAGCATGTAAGTGTCTTTCATGTTCATGCGTTATAATAAGACGTGACAATGGATGTCGTCCAGGTAATAGTACAGGATGCTTTGCTGATTGTGATAACGCTGAAACTTGAAGGCATCCACCAACTCTGAGAACTCCGATCTCATCAATGAATGGATTTAACTTTAATATGGAACTGCTTCGAGATATGGCCTCTTGATTAGATAGTGAATGCAATTCCTTTGAAAAATGATTCTTTTGCACAAGCTTTACCATTACTTGAATGGCATGATTTACTTCGTCAGCGGTTATGGGTTGAATCGCTCGTGTAAATGCAGTAGATTGTTGTACACTTCTAGTAGACTCTCCAGTACGTCTTGCCTTCTTGTAGAATCGAAAGATATATGCAACGATCCGAGTTAGTCTTGAAAATCTTGAGTATCGATTAAAGATGTTGAATTCTTCATCATTGGTTGCTAGAGCGGCGATGCATTTAGCTCTCCTTTCGGGCGCGTTTTGATTGGAGGTGACGAGCATATTCTGAGGCCATTTTTCCTTATCGAGTGTTAGCCATGGAGGCCCTGTCCACCAAATCTGTAGCTGAGACAAAGAAGCTGGCATGACTCCTCTTGACAGTGGATCTGCGGGATTGTCGTCACTGCGTATGTGTTTCCAATTTTGTATTACGGTTAGTTGTTGTATCTCCCCAACGCGATTGGCTACGAAGGGGGTCCAGGTACGACTGCACGATTGCAACCAGGCCAATACGATTGTTGAGTCCGTCCATAGGTGAATGGAGTCTGCCTTGCATGATAGGCAATTTGAAGTTTTGTCGACAAGCTGTGCTAGTAGTAGTGCACCGCATAGTTCGAGACGCGGAATCGAAATAGCCTTTAATGGTGCTACTCGATTCTTGGAGCAAAGTAAACGAACTGAATGATTCCCATCGAGGGATGTGGCACGTAAATAGATACATGCTCCATAGCCAGATTCACTGGCATCGGAAAATCCGTGGATTTCTAGCCGCGTGTGTCGTTCAAACGGAATAACCCTTCGAGGCACGTTGATTTGTCTCAGCTCGGGCAATTCTACTTCATAGCGTTTCCACTTAGTATGCAGCTCCAATGGAATTGATTCATCCCAATCTAAACCAAGACGCCAAAGATCCTGCATTATGATTTTTGCCGTTAGCGTGACAGGACCAAGCAGACCGAGTGGATCAAATATTAATGAGATTTTTGATAGTATGCTCCGTTTTGTGATAGTTTCTAGCGGATCCAAAGGTGTGAGACTGGAGAATTGAAATTGATCCATGTTACAATTTCATGTGATGCCCAATGTACGTGTTTCGCATTGTTTGTCAGCTGACAAGATAAATTCCTTGTGATTTGAATGTGATTGATTGTCCCGCAGAGAGGGAACATTTGATGCCCATTTTGCTAATTCAAATTTGGCTTCTTGTAATAGTTGAATCGTTTCCCTTTTGATAGCGCAAATTTCTTGAATGGTGTTTGCACCAGTGACTAGATCGTCTACATAAAAGTCGTTTAACACTACCTTGGATGCGATTGGAAATTTGTTTGAATTTTCTTCGGCTTGCCTTCGCAGAGCAGCAATGGCTAAGAATGACGCTGAGGAAGTTCCATACGTGAGCGTAAGAAGCTCAAACGTTTTAATCGACTCATTTGGCGAGTCACGCCAAAGGATGCGCTGAAGACAAGTCTGCGTAGGGTCTATTAATACCTGCCTGTACATTTTTACAACGTCGGCGGTTAGAACGTATGTGAATGTTCGGAATCTTGATAGAATTGAGAAGAGATCCTCTTGTATTGTCGGGCCAACCATCAACACGTCATTAAGTGAAGTACCGGTTGATGTTTTGCAAGATCCATCGAATACGACCCTTAGTTTGGTAGTGGTGCTTGTTTCCTTGTATACCGCATGGTGAGGCAAGTAATAAGTTGGAATATTTGCGTTGGATATTTTGGAATCTAGGTGATTGGGCACTTCACGCATGTGACCTAGTTCCTTATATTCATGAATTAACTTTTTATATTCAGCATGCATTTGTGGCTGTTTCGCGAAACGTCTCTCCAAGAGTTTGAAACGTTTCAAGGCGATATCCCTGGAATCTCCAATGGCAGTCAGTTTATCCATCCTTATTGGCAGTTGAACTATGAATCGTCCTTCCTCGTTGCGTCTGGTAGTGCCTTGGAAGATGAGTTCACACCTGCTTTCTTCCGGTGACGGATTGGATGTTAATATGTTATGCTCGACTTCCCAGAATCGACTGAGCGCTCGATTCAGATCATCTGTTACGGCTAAATTACAACTAGTTGAAATAAGATTGATATCATTATCCATAATATGACCAGAGATTATCCATCCTAAGCGAGTCTTTTGTAAGATTGGCTGATTCTTTGAATGTCTGATCTGCCCAGCACAAATAAGTCTCCAGAATAATTCGGCGCCTATCAACATGTCGATACTAGACGGGATATTAAAATTGGGATCAGCCAGTTTGATGTGCTTGGGAATTACTATATTTGATTTGGTTGTGAATTTTTGAGGTAATTGCTGAGTAATTTTTGGTAGCACAATACAGTCTATGACTTCACTAAAATTATTGAAGCGAGATTTAACCCGTAAGCTTATCATTCTTTTGGCATGAAAGCCCTTTTGCATGACTCCTGTAATAGAAGCTTCCACTGATTGCTCCTTAAGATGCAATTGATTGGCTAGCTCGTCAGTGATAAAGTTCATTTGCGAGCCGCTATCAAGTAGGACGCGACATGAAATTGGCTGTTCCTTGGAATCGTATACGTATACGATGGCGGTGGACAATAAAATATTTAACGAGTGGTGAGCTGACAAACATTGGGTAACGACAGCCTGAGACGCTTCATTCGAATCTGCAAGCGATTCCTTAGACTCTACAGATTTATTATCATTGTTAGGATTTGATAGGTGTAACAAAGTGTTATGCCTTTTGTTGCATTTGCGGCAAGCTCCTGACTTACACGCACTGGCTTGATGCTCTGTTGATCGCAGACAATTTGTACAAATATGAGCCTTTTTAACTACCTGTAGTCGTTTGTCTACTGAAAGTTTACGGAATGCTTCACAATGATATAACGAATGATTTTCCTTGCACTGCGGGCAAGATATATTAGACGTCGCGACATTTGAAACGGATTGATTCTTGTGCTTACTACCGTATTTTTGAGAAACGTTACCTTGTTGATTGCTAGACCAGTTACTAGAAATAGATTCTAACGCTTGACAACGTTTTGAAAGAAAGTCTGTGAGAGATTTCAAATTTGGCATGTCTCCTTGGACAATACTTGTTTCCCATGCCTTATTGGTTGCGGAATCAAGTTTCGACGTGATTATGTGTATGACCACGTCGTCCCATGTATCCGTGGGCCTTTTTAGAGCCTTAAGGGCTCTCAGATGCTTTGAGATGGTGTCCAGTAATTCGCGCAGTGCGATATGATTTTCCTTCGTAAGTGATGGTGCTTCGAACATCGCCTTGATGTGTTTGTGTATGATCCATCTTTTGTTGTCGAATCGATCCTTTATTGCTGCCCATACTTCAGGGTAATTGTCTGTGGTAATTTCTATGGACCTTATAACCTCTGCTGCCCTATCCTTTAAAGAAGAACGCAAGTAATGGAATTTTTCTATGGTAGCAAGACTTTCATTCGAGTGAATGAGTTTTTCGAATGTGTCTTGGTATGAGTACCAATCTTCGTATGAACCTGAAAAAACTGGAAGCTCTATTTTAGGTAATCTAATGTGAGATTGCCTCGTAACGTTTACGGAAGCGTTAACTTCGTTTGCGGAAGCCAACTTCGTTGGATATCGGTGCCGGTGTCTCTGCCGGTTTATCGAATCGTTCTAACATAGCATTGTAACGCGCTATTAAAAGAAAGTAAGGATTTTCAAAGCTTGCTGTTGCTGAGTTTGTTGTGCCAGAAGGGCTTCATTGTCTAAATTAGCAGGATCCTCATTTTCAAGTGCTTCTATTCTTGACTGAGCAAACTCGAATTGATTCCACAAATCTGATAGCTTAGCCTTGCGTTCACTAATATCATGCCGCGAACCTTGACTAGGATCATAACCTTCAATAAAGGTTTTCAGCCGCGTCGCCGCTGCTCTTATGTGAGCTCTTCTGCTTTTTGCCTCTGATAACGACATGGCGTTCATATTTACTGCCTTGTTATAGTAGGAACGAATCGTTCACGCGTCGCGAGGATGACAATATGGCGTACGAACGTATAAGAAGGTAGGAACGAACCGCTCGCGAGGATGACAATATGGCGTTCGAACGTATAAGAAGTAAAATGAGTTGCTTACCTCGACTCAGACAGAGCCAGAATGTCTTACCTCAATAAGATTACTTACTGAACGTATGCGATTGATACATATAATTGTGGATATGTCAAAAGTATCCGGCTCGAAGGACCAATGTGCGAGCCTTGTGGCCTTGTGTGGCCGTGACCAGGGCGTACTGCCCGCGCGTATGTGTATGCGTATTTTCTCGTCGTCGTAATATCTTATGTGCGAGCTTAGACTCGCAGGTGGGCAAGGTGTTCCTTGACACACAGTGAATTTCGGTGATCTGATGACACCTTTATTGAATAAGCGGACTGTATACAAAGAAAACGGTCTGTCTAGTCGGACGGTCATGCTACAACTAACTAGAACAAGGAGAATGCCGGAAGTGACGCAAATCATGACGATCGCAGCGCAGCGCAGGGCGATCGGTAGCGCATGTGCGGCAATCGGTAGACGGCGGGAACTTAAATTAGATAGATGAACACGAGTAGCGTGTACATGACGGTTTCGATGTCGATACGACGTCGTTTCGACGTCGATCTACGAGTAATTTCTGACTGCAGGTACGAGCGCTATTAGACCCGCGATCACGCGCCCACCTCTCGTAGCGAGCGCGACTTCCACGGCACCGATTCGCGATCCGAGATTCGAATTAGGACGCATCAGATACCTGGGGCCGTTCACGCTTGGCACCGATCGCTCGCCTAGACCAAATACTCATCCGTTTCCTGGGAACGGGACCGAGTTTACTAAGCGCAACGCGACGCCAAAACATGAGCCGGCCTCCTTGAGTGCACACGCGACTTTAGAATTGAGAAAATAATAACGAGGGCCATCTCACCGATACTCCTCGTATCGTCCTACGCGGCGTCGTCCTCGAGATCCCTACCTTGGTGTGGGACTGTGGGGCGATCTGACGGCATCGATAGTCCGCGAACAAGAGAGCGAAATCCTGTGCGAAACGGCCGATTGCAATTGTTCGTCGCGCCCGCGAGCGGGGGTTGCACGAGATAATGGCATCGCGGCCCGACCAATCGGGGGAAAGCTTTTCGACCGGCGTACGCAGAAAATCGCGGAACGAGAGCCTTGACTAATCACGAGCTTTCTGTGATTTTTTGCTCTCGTTCCGCGAGAATTAAATAAATGTTAAATAAATGTTTTTAATTGGTAATTATTTAGATTAACACACCCACCTCCAATAACCTTGGGCTTGACATATATTATAGAGGTCACCCTCCTGAGTAACCCTCAGAAGGATTTAGCCGGCGCTCGTTGTTTATTAAAAAGTTATTAAAAAAACAATGTCAACCAATTATACAGGTATGTAATTTTCAGACACAAATATTAAAAATTTTGAAAAATGTTTTAAACAAAAGTTGTAGATCTCTTTGAAATATACATTTTATGTTCTATTCATTTTTACTGTGCGAGTAATAGCTTT